CCTCCAGAAGCACACACACACACACACACACACACACACACACACACACACACACACACACACACACAAAGCTTGAGCAAATAAATCAAAGCTTGCAAGAAGTGGTGCAAAAGTGCTCCGGAAAAAGAAAGAAATACATTTAAATCTGGATTAAGCATTCTGACATATTTAACACTAATGAGGCAAAGTCCCCTTAAGCTCATTAACAGATCTATCTAATCTACTGTCTGTGGGCTATGGGGAAAGAAAGGAACATGTATTAACCTTATTCTATATAAAAGGCTTCATTATTTAAGCAGTTCACAAACTGATGATGTACAAATGAGTGACCTACAGCAACCAGATTCTAGCTGAAGGATCTGAGATCCGGAAGACTAATCCTGATTTGTATTAGGTCAATAAAGCAACGCATATTAAATTTACAAATGACAGATGGAGGCACTAACCTGGGTCCTCAGGGCAGAGGACACTCCCCATATAACTGGAAATCCATCGGTTCCTAAACATTGTTCCTCCGCTGGTACCACGATGTCTTTATATGTCAGAACCGAAGCCCCGGGCCGCTTCCAGAGAGCTTCAGAGAGAGAGCAATTTCCTAGCAGCGCACTGAGCCTGTCAGGCTGAGCACAGTGAGTGCATAGCAATGGGCTGGGAAGCTGGAGGAACCCAAGCCAGTAATCAGATTACAAACAGAAATTAGGCACTCAAAAGCGGATTGGGTCATAGGGACTGAGAGATGCTGAAAACTCCAGCTCCAGCCAAATTAAAACACATGCTTCAGAAATGACACAGATAGAGAAAAAGAACTTGAACAGCAGGAAGTACAGGAGACTTGAAAATAAAACTATCCGTGAGGAGTGTGCTGGGCGATCCTCCTCCTAGCTATCAGATGATCACACTAGTGCTAAAGTCCAATTAATCTTTCAGTTTAAACCACACAAATATGTTCAAGGTGCATCAAAATCAAAAGCGTTTCAAGTCTTGCTGTTCATTTTCTTTGGAGAGCAGTCACAGCCCAAGTTGAAACGTCTGTCCTCTGCCAGCACCGTTGCGGTCTTTGGGGAAACCGTGGTCTCTCTGCTGAGGTCGAACACACCCCCTGCTGATTCAGGCCTATAGCTCTGCAAAGTTCAAGCTTCCTGCTGATTGGAGAGCTCTAGCTTATTGAGTTTTGGAACACTGCAGAGTCATTATCTGCAGCATGCAGGCAGAGGAGAGGCTTTTCTATTCAGGTTGTGGCTACTTTCTAAAGAAAATACACTGTAAAGCTTGCCATACACCTATAGATTATCTGCAGATTTTCTATGGTCAGGTGGATAAAGTGCAACAGAATCCTCTATCTACTCTAGACTGTGTGGATGGAGGAATCTCCCACTGGGCCAGGCTTCAGTATCTTGCTAGTCGGCCCCACTGGCTCTCAAAACACCTGAACAATCCGGATTGGATGCAGACATTGTTCAGGTGCTTTGAGAGCTAGTGGGGCCAACTAGCAAGATGCTGAAGCTTGGCCCAGTGGGAGATTCCCCCAGCCACACAGTTTAGCGTAGATGGAGGAATCTGTTGCACTTTTTCCATCTGACCATAGAAAATCTATAGGTGTAGGGCCAGCTTTAGACTTTGGATGCCTTTTACTTTAATGCAATTGGAATGTATTCAGCTGTTCTAAATAGTTGAGTTCTGCTTTATCAAAATGGTATGCCAGAATCATATGAGTACATCCTTCTACACAAGTCTGCCAAAATGACCTGTCCAGAACAAATAAAGCGGTTATATTTACCCGATCCTCGGTCCTGCTAGACCGGTCCCTGCAGCCTGTTCTCCCCTGGGCTACGGCAGTCTAAGGACCGCTGCTGTCATCACATCTAATGCAGGTTCATTGACCTGCATTATACGTAAAGATGCTAAGGGACATCCGGAGCAGAGGGGGAAGAGAGGTGAACACTGACCGCTGTGAGACCACGGATCAGGTGAGTATAACTGCTTGATTTAAACCCCTTAGACAAAACGAGCACATAAAGCAGAACTCCGGGGGGAAATTTTCTTAACCCTTGCAGTGGGGCTACCAAAAGTTTTAACTCCTGTATTCCAGAGATGAACTAAGCAAGGATTATTACACTGCTACACAGTGAACACTGTAGGGAGCACTGTAATTCTGGAAGGATCAACAGGTAATTTTTCAAACTCAATTTCACACTGATCTAAAAGGGAGCAAATAAGGGAAATTCATTGTTGGGGTTTACATACACTAACCACTAGTCATTTTAGTAGCGCGACTGAGTAATACAATTCGCCCACGTGCTCCTGCATCAAGCCCAAGTGATATGGGATCCAGCAGACATTTATCCCGTCAGTAGGCAACCGAAACCCAAACAGTAGTCTTGGGAAGGTGGCATTTCATCAGAAATATTGAGAAGCCCAGAAGAGTTCTGTATCTTATGGAGTGGGTCATGTTCCAAGGTTAGATCATCATCCTCATGTCAATGGAACAATAGTGATCGCCTAAAGGTATCTAAGCAGATGATATCACCAAATTTACAAACACCTGGCCTAGAAATAACTAATCGAATAACTTACTAAATAATCCCAGTCCTTATTCCATTTCAGATTTCCCATTTGTATCCATTAATGCTTGCCAGGTGGATAAAGCCCCGCTGACTTAGTCCACTTCCTCTTGGAGCTGGCCGATTGCCTCTCTCATAAATCACAGTATTGCCTGGAGCGGACAGATGAAGCTTTGTGGCCTGGCAGCACAGCTTGTGTTGTGTTCCGTTTACTACAATTTGTACACAGTGATTAAACCTCTGGGGAACCCACACCTCTTATGTGTGACCACTAAGTGCCACTTTACACTATGTGCATCGCTAACATGTTTTCCCACATTTTCTCATGTGTTTACATGCACTAATGCACAATTTTATATATA